CATGATGACATACCACGAGTCGCAGACACTTCAACAAATGTGACATACATTTGTGTAACAACTTTTAAATTTTGATTCTGAGCATCAATCATCATAGCAACATCGTCATCGTTGGAGAGTACAAACGTTGTATAAGTTAACAAAAATTGTGCAGCCGAAAATCTGTACTAAAGTGAGGACAATCTTCTAGTACCCCCAACATGAACCTTCCTTGAAATTTTAGTGATCAACTCCTCAAGAGAGATGTTTCTCTTGAAGGATAAAGTGATATAATGATTTGATACGAAGACAACGCTGATTTCATCTTCCCTAATTCCTCCATCATAATAAACAATAACTGCAATACATCTCATTTTGAAAGTTTGGTATTGAGAGTTTGAGAGTTTTAAATATTGAGAGTTAGACGGTTTGAAAAGTTTGAGAGATTTAATAGATGAAATTTTTAGTGTTGAGTCTTATATCTATAAAAACGAATAAATGTTTCTAATAAACGATCATTCTCGTAATTAAATAAATAGTATACAAATTAAAATATAAAATAATACTAAAAAATTATAATAATTTAAATAAAACAATTTAACATTATTACCTTATTGGTAAAATATCTCAAACTGTGATCTCCATCCAATCGTAACATCTTACATTCCATTTTACAGTCACAAAAAATAATAAAAAATAATTGATATAATAAAATTTAGTAAAATAATTAAATATTAAATAAATGTAATATAATAAAAAATATTTTACCCTTTAAAAACTATAATAAAATCTATTTAATTTGATAGAATGAATTAATAGAAGAAAGAATGTGAAATTAATTTTGATGTGATTTGATAGTTGAATTCGAAAGTATTTATAGAATGAGGGGATGGGAATAGATGGTTGGTCGGATTTTCAAGTAATAATTGAAGGGGTAATAATTGAAGGGGGAGTACCGTATGTCAGAATTTTCTTATGAATGATCGCCTCATATAACACACCTTTCTTGAAAGTACATCTCGAAAATACACTTTTTCGTAACGTTAGTCTCTTACAACGTGTGTCATATGTTAAGGTTTTTTTTGTTGTTGCTAAAAACGCCTATTGGAGATGGTTGATAGTTGTCATGCTATCATGTCATATGGATAATAACAAATATAAGATTCATCAATCACCGATGCTTTCAGTAATAAACTTCAAACTTACCGTACAACAACTGTATCGGGTGACGACCATATTGATGCATAACACTTTTGTTTTGATTAATTAACTATTTATTTTATAGAAAAATGGTACAACAGCTTTCATTGTATGACGACCATGACGATGCCAAACATTGATATATAGAGAAAATGAGAGAATATGGTAATTAAAAATATATAATTTATGTTAATCAATATACATATAGTTTATGATATCGAAAAATTTGAAAGCTTATTAACTTAATTAAAAAAATCATTAAGTCATTGTCCCTTGGATCCTTAGAAGAGCTATTATTAGCGTTATCCTCGCCTTACATAATTACTTTAAAATAAGACTAAAGTTTTACCCATCAGTGTCATTATGTTACCTTTTAGTAGTTAATATATTATAAATACTAGCGAATTAAATAAGATATTTGTAATTTTATTTGACTATTTTAATATATTTAGTTAAATATTATTATCATATGTAATACTTTAAAAATATTTTAAGAGTAAATATATTTGGTCCATTCACATAATTATTTATCTTTGTTTTCTCTTATTTTCTTAAGTCATAGTTTCTAGTTCCAAAAAAAAATTTTATTCTTTTTGATTTCTTTATAAGTAGGATTAAGATTATTTTTTAGAATTTTTTAAAAAAATTAAAAGGTAAATTATTAACAAAATTATTATATTTATGTGCTTCCCACTATCCTTGCGGCATCTGAAATATGAATCCTAATAATGTCAGAGTAATATATTACTGTTTACTGCATAGATATGCATATAAACCTCAATTTCCTTCTCTTCTGGGGTTCCAAACTTTCACCGTCTTCACGGTATTCCTCTCTGTCGGGGATCCAGAGTGATAGGATTGGAGCAAAGATCAATAAACAGATGAAGATTCAGTGCGATGTGTGTGACAAAGAGGAGGCCTCAGTATTCTGCACCGCAGACGAGGCCGCCTTGTGCGACGCCTGTGACCACCGAGTTCACCACGCCAACAAGCTTGCCTCTAAACACCAACGTTTTTCCCTTCTCCACCCTTCATCTTCGAAACAGGTCCCTCTTTGTGACATCTGTCAGGTAATTTTCACTTTCTGATCTCTGGATTTTTGTTACTGTGTAGATGTTGGAAATTGGACCTACTGCTTCGGTGGATTGATTTTGAGTTTCCTTTTTTTGTTTAGGAGAAACGAGCTTTCTTGTTCTGTCAGCAGGACAGAGCAATTCTATGCAGAGATTGTGATGTTCCAATTCATGCGGCAAACGAACATACCCAGAAACATAACAGGTTTCTTCTCACAGGGGTTAAACTCTCTGCTACCTCTTCTCTCTATACATCCTCCATCTCTTCCTTATCCGACGTTGCTGATTCTGTTCCTGAATTCAAGTCTCCACCATTGGTCAAGAACCCTATCTCTGCTTATCCAGCAAATTTCAATCCACCTTCACTTGCTAAATCTTCATCAATCAGTACAAGAACAGCGGTAACAAATAACAAGAGCACCGGAGATAATCTTCTGGCAACTGAAGACGGTGGGTCAACAAGTAGCATATCTGAGTACTTGATAGAGATGCTTCCAGGGTGGCACGTCGAAGATTTCCTTGATTCCACTTCACCTCCCCTTGGTTTCTGTAAGGTTTGCATTGATCTATATCTATGATTATCCTTTTTCTTTCTTACTATTTAGCTTTGACTAATTGTTTTTTTATTATTAATTATGTGATTTTCTTTTGAATTTGAATATTTTTTTGGGTTTTTGGATCTAATTTATTCAGAGTGATGATTGTATCTTGCCGTTCCTTGATGCTGATTTTGAGAGCAATATGAATGCTTTCTCACCAGAAAGTTCAGGGCTTTGGGTTCCCCAGCCGATATCTTCCCTGTATCCTCCCCAATATTCTACACAAACGGGAGGGCAAATCGGGTTCAAGGAAACAAAGAAAATCATGGAGATGAAAACTAACAGGAGATGGACAGATGATTCCTTTACAGTACCACGGATGAGCCCTCAACCCAAGAGATATAAGCGTCTCTGGTAGGATCAGATCTTCAAAATGTTATATGTTTGACATGGGTTCAACTTCCCATCTTTACCTCATTTTGTGCTAAGTTAGATTTCAGTTTAATGTTTTCCACTCCCTAATAATCCCAGTTTCGTTTGTAGCACTTTCTTCGTGTTCCCCACTAACAGAATGCAAGGATTTCGTAAATATGAATAAAAACAACTATTTCCATTTAACAAAACTGGAATCTACCCTAACAGTAGGGATGACATATCGTATCAAAAAATCTAAAGAGAACATACAAGTGAACGGTCTCAACAGGCAATCATGGGAACAAAGTAAAGGAATCTCTCCCCCCCTTCCTTTTTGGTCGGGGAGATGTATCTTGTCATTGAGATTGGATCTGCCAATTGCAATAGGAAGGGAATAACAAGAAGAAGATAGATGATAGTTACAATAAATTGATGATGGGTTGGGGTAAGGAACAAGAGGGGTAGGACCAGCTGAGAGGTAGCTGGCTTTGTCCTAAAGCAGATTGCACTATCGGCTGGTGGGTCGAGCACATCCTCCCCAATTCTAGATATGCTAATTCATTTATCAACTTTCCTCAATTTTATAAATATAATTATTAGTCAAAGATATTGCTTTTTAAATGTGAAATAATTTCCAATCGCGTCATGTTATCATTGTGTTATAGGACTTTAGTCTAAAACTAGAAAGGCAGTTAAAAAATGGACAACTTCTAAGGTCAAATCTGAACTGGTTTTTTTTTTTTTGGGGGGGGGGGGGGTTTCAACCTGATCCTACGAATGGTAGCTGGTTGCCGACCTCTGTCTCTGGCACAATCTTTTTGGTGCTTGGGGAACCTTTTTTTGTGGTGGGCTCGAATCACCAATAATAACCTTTATTCTTACACCTTATTTGCATGAAATATCACATCAGGATCTTAATTTTCTTGATATTAACAGTTTTGACTTTTTTGCCATGTTTATTTCAAGCATTGAAGTGGTCGACTTCACCCACTATCAAAGCAAACGCCGAAATTTATCGTGTAGGATCAGTTGCTTCTGCGGTTAAGGCAAATAGATCAAAATTTATATATTGGTTAAATATTATATTTTATAAATGTTTAAATATGATATTCTAAATTTTTTTTATTGAATGATAAAAAATAACATTTATTTATGTTTGTCACCGTTGTTAAGCTCATGTTAACATATTATACGATTTTTAAAAAAATATTATTTACTTAATTTTTGCCAAAAATATCTTTTAAAATGTTTAACCTTTTCTTATCAATTAAACAGAATATTTTCAAGAGCAAGATGAATAAAAATAAAGGTTTACGTAATTGAAAGAAAGAAAGAAACCTATAAGTCAAGGAGTCGTGGATAAATGGGTTTGTATTTTTGGTCGAGATCTCTGCCTCTTACAGCCCACAATCTTTTATTGGATATTGGTCTTTGTACCATGGATGAGGCTTACGGTTTAAAGACACGCGTTGGCTTTTTCTTCTTCTTCTTCTTCTTTTTCTTTAAACATCTAATTCCTATGTGACATTGACTTTACAGCAGTAATCAAAGTTTAGACTTTAGACTCGTTCAACGGTTAATAGGCTTTTTGAGTGCTGGCTCCAAGACTAACCGTATAGAAGAATAAGGGCAGCAATTTTCGTTGAAACACCAAACCAATCAAAAGAAAAATAAGCATACAGAGAATGCCATCAAATTGCAAGCAATACTGATCCAAAAAAAAAATCCAAAACGAACATGAATTGGTTAAAAATACTCAACCCCTCGGTTTTCTCCTTGAAACAAATGTGGAACCAAAAAACATATATAAATGGAGGAAGGTTAATGGTGATGATGATTCAAGGACGTGTACAGTGAGCTTTGCACATATGACGGCAATCATAGACGCAAGGTCCACCACAATGAAGGGGACATTCCAACCTCAGGCCTCTGCACCTTGTCCTAACTATGCACTCGGCATACTCTCCTACCCTATAATCCTCCTTGTTGAAAACTCTCTTCGTATGCGCTTCATTTCTCCCAATCATGCCTTCATCTCTTCCTCTTCCTTTCCCTCCACATCCCCATTTATACCAACCACCTCCTCCTCCTCCCCATCCCCATCCACCACCTCCACCTCCTCCACCTCCACCACCACCCCATCCCCAACCAAAACTGCCACCAACTCCCCCTCCCCCTCCCCCTCCACCTCCTCTATTCTTGTTGTTGAGCACAACTTCAGTGGAACTTCTATTGCTTACTTCGACATTGTTTTTTCCTGGGGGAAGCTTGAGATGAACCGAGCGAGAGGAAGAGTTGGTATTGGCTTGAGGTTGAGCAGCACTGGCATTTACCAACTCATCACCTCTCACACTATCAACTGCCACTGCTACAAAAAGGACAACCCAAAAACCTTTTACAAATGTCCCCATCCTTCGATCTCCACTAAGATGCAACTGTTGGCTAAACGTGGCTGACCTATATATATATACTAGGGTTTCAATTAACAGCTACATTTGGTCCCACTTGACCCCAGATCTAAGTAAAACACAAACCAACCAATTGCTACTTTTTTCTTCCAATAAGTGCTAAAATTTGAAATGCCTTCGGACGCACTTTGTCCCCACTTGCAACACCAAATTGCAATGTGAGTAGCGCATGCCGGAAGCCTCAGAATTTATTTCTCCCACTTGCACCTGTGCCACTCTGAGAAATAATATATATATATATATAATTAGAGTAATGTCACAGTATCCTAACTAGTGATTGTTTAATTATAATTAGGGTAATGGACACTTGTTTGAGCTCTGGGTTCATCGGTTTTGTTCAGTTCTTTGGATGGTTGCAAAAACATTGAATAAGCACTTTTAGTAAGTTCTGATTGTTAATTTTTTTGCATATAGTGGCACCAATCCATTGAGGCGGATGTGTTCATTGCAGTGATTGCCTATCGAAAAGTTTTTCAGCTTTTCTTTTGCAAATGCTGCGATCACAAACCAACTTTTTGATGAATAGTTGAGCAGAGTGAAACTTTGGCGCCATAGAACAAGGCAACCAAATAGCATCAACTAGCCTGTTCAAGTTTTCACTTCATATTACACCATAAAGAGCAATTTGGGAGCATATTATACAATTTTGGCTTATTTAATCATCTCCGTATCAGACAAATGGGGTTAAGTTTCCGATCTTGCTTCGCCCTCAAGTTTGGGAATTGAAAATTTTTAAAGAGCAAAGGAGCGGTCGAGTATATAACGGTTGTGGGGATATCAATGCTCTTGCTTGTAAATACGTATTCCTTGTAAGGTACATAACAAATTGATTTCAGAGCAGTGGTACCATCATGCCTCCCACTTCTATGAGAAACAAAAAAATATTAAAAAAATGATCTGGAAATCACTAATTCAGATTCAGGCTCAAGTTTTCTACCGGTTTCCTTAACCACCATCTATATAGTTCTTGTCCTAACTCCTAACATGGATGATGCTTTGCTTGATTCTCGGACAAATTGGAAACGATGAGACCAGATACAAACATGATTGAACAAAGAGCAACTTGGGAGACCACTCAAACTGTCAGAATATTTTTATATATATAAAGAGTGGAAAATCAATTCTTCTTTTTTTTCTCTCCATCTGAGTTGGGCCGAAGCCTGAACTATGTTCATTTGCATTGGGTTTGTTGGTCTGGGTAATACTCCCGACATATCAAACTGTCTCAACAGTTTCCGTAGTTCAAACATAAAAAAGGAGCTATAAAAGACAAGAGGCAAGTGGTTGGTTTGAATGACTCTGGGAGTACTATTTCCCCAAGGACCAAATTGAAGATCATAAAAGGTCGTCTCATCCCGTATGCAATATTAACTGTGACATATGGTGGGCTTGGTGTAATCTTTCCTATGCACTACTTATACTAGCAATTCAAAAACATAAAACATAGACAATGACAGGCAACAACTATTCCCAACATTTTAACACGATAGGGAATGGAAAGGGTTTGCAGAGATTCCATTTTTAGACATCAGAATTTGCAGATACTGGTTTGTTCGCATGCGGTTATTAATCACGCTGGCGGAGCATCTCTTAATTAATGCATGATTTGTTGTAATAAATATTGTTGGATTAAATGAATAATTGGAAATTTTAACCATATTTTTTTTTATTACGTTGAGTGATGATTTTCCAGGTCAATCTCCTATTTATGAGCATCCAGTATTAAGCACTTGCAACAACGTCAACAACTATATTTATTGCAGACTGGGAGTTTCAACAACTCTAGGAAAGGTACCATTTCTCTCTTTCTTAGACATAAAGCATTTGATCTTCAAATTTCTGGGCCTGTAATCACCTGCCAAGAAATGATGCGTCCACTAATCATATGTATAGAACAATTGGAATTGTTCTATACAAACCATAGATGTTCAACAAGTGTCAGGTAGGCAAAAACTATAATCACAATTCACAACCAAAAGACATGACTTGGTGAATAAATTCATCAATTAGCATCGACTACTTCAGCTGAATAGTCTGTGCACCTCCAAAGGGTTAACATCTTTTTTTGGCCTATAAAAACATAACGATTGTTTCTCCATTGAAAACCCTCCCGACAAATTCAACACTGCCAAAAAAAGGGTGGAAGATTATCAATGAATAATCTCAAATATACATCATCTCAGTATTTTAACCCCCCCCCCCCCAAATGAACTGAAGAGTAAAATACTCTGCAACAACAATTATGAAACAGGGATATTTAAGAGCCATCACTTGAAAATGGTTTATTACACGAGCGTGACGCCCACTGGCAACTAAACATATTGATGAACTGTATAATGCATAAAGCATATTGGATTACTAAAAATGATACGATGGAATGGTACAAGATCAGCCTAGGAGATAGGACACTAAACTAACTGCCTAAGAATCTTTGAGGGATTACAAATTAAAGCACATGCACTTGTCTTTCATTGCTTCAGCTTCCTTTCCGTATTCTTTGAGTTTATATTCATCCTGTTTAAAGTAGGGGGGAACCTTTCCGTCACTGTAGCATTGATTACAGAGACTAAAATGAGACTTCACTTCCATAAAGCGAGAACCGATAATTGGGTAATAACAAACTGAGCAAACATGGTTCCCATGACGATTCCTATCTCCAATTTCTAACTTCAAGAGAGTGGATAAGATACCAAAGCCCCAATCAGGATCATTGAACATGACAAGGAACTCGCTGAAAGATACCATTGAGGTATCTGTTTCTCCATGAACTTCCAGCATTTCACTAACCCCATGGGAAGGAATAAATATAGCCCTTAACAATTTGATGTACTGAACTACATCTACCTTTCTAATCTGAGAATGGCCTTCATTTACTGACCGCCATAAGAGTGCATCAAAGGCAATCCTTTTTCGCTTATCTGGAGGTCCATTACAAATGGGCGCAAGAACAGCATAAAACATGCCCAAGTCCACCCTACCTGATCCTGTTTCATCCAAGACTGAGAGGACTTTCTCATTTATCGCTTTGACAGCTCCTTGGAAGGTCTCCGGTTTTAGAAAATCAAGAAATTTGCATAGAATTTCTTCCAAATTGGGCTTGCGTATGGATTTCTGAGGACCACCACTACCAGAGTAGGATACTGGTACATCAGTCTCGTTCATTTCTTTCTTCAAAAGATCCACTTCACAATGATTCAATCTTGTGATTCTCTGGAAAGCCCTAATCTGAAGAGCATTTCCTAAATCTTGCCTCAATGTAGTCTTCTCACCCACTGTCTTGAATTTTGAAGGATCCACTATAACAAAAGCCGCCTCCCCATTGGTACCACCATTAGCCTTGACTTTCTTCTTTTGTAGCTGCTTCAGGTGGCATATGGCATCATGTAATTCAACCCTATTTGTCATTTTCAGAGCCTCCTTCAAAGCTTTCTTAGCTTCTTCAGTTTCTCCAGCCCCCAACAAGGATACAGCCTTATTGAGCTGCGCCCGCCAATGATTCGGCCACACAGCTAAAACCCTAGTATACATCTCAGAAGCTCTCTGAAACCTACCCAAGTCCATATAAAGTCCACCTAGATTGTATAAAGCGTCAACATGACCTGGTTTCAAATCAATAGCTTTCTGGAAAACCTCAATTGCCCTCTCATCCTCACCCATACCATGCAAAGCTGATGCTAAATCACAATGTGCATCAGAATAATCTGGTTTCATAAATATAGCTTCTTCTAAAGCCTTAACAGCTGCCCTATATTCGCCTACACCGAAAAGAGCACTACCCAAAAGTTTCAAAGCTCTATAATGAGTAGGACAAAGAATTGCAGCCTCTCTATAATACTCACAAGCACTTAAAACCATACCTTCTCCTTCAAGAGCAATCCCAAGATTGACATAAATTTGAGGAAACAAGTAACGCCATTGATTCCCACCAGCCTCTGCTGATTCCAAAGCCAACCGAAACTCTTCTTTAGCTTCTTTATACTTCCCTAGCACATACAAACAATTCCCAGCTCTAAAATGTGGCCTTACATCCGTTGGCTGCAATTCACAAGATCTCTTGAAACATATCAAAGCTTCTTTAAACAACTGATATTCATATAAAACCCTACCAATTGCCATTTGTCCATCAAATGCTTCTTCTCTTGACCTTGCACCATCAGCTCTACTCCTTAAAGCTCTCAATTCTTTAACAAAAACAGCATAGTCAGGCCCCGATTCTTCCCAAAATATCCTTTTCTCCGAAAGCTCTGCAGAGGCTCCCAACTCCCTTGACCACCCAGCATCTGAATAAGCATCAAAATTATCACTTCTAAACTTCCCATCTTTTGCTTGCATTGCTTTCAATCTCTTCAGCAAAATCTCCAAATCATCTACGAGCTTCCATGTGTCATCGAAAACTATCCCGTGATGAGGCGACACTGCCCAGGCTGCAGTCCGCTGCTTCTTCTGCGACTCCATTACTCTCTCGTCCACAATAGATGACGATGATGCTTCGGACACTATTGATGCACCTTTTTTTACGTCAAAATTGAGCTCCAGACCCAGCGCATCGAAGTCACGGTCCACGTCACCGGCTCCGTCATCGTATGTTCTCAACAAACCGTCATAAGTTAACCCCTTCTCATCGTCGATGAACTCCCCATAGGTCCTAAACACTTCGTCGAGAATAGCGTTAATTTGTTCGTCGCTAAACTTGACTCTGGGGTTAACAGCGACAACTAACGCTGCCATTTCATCTCTGTTAAGACCCCCATCTCGGTTGGTGTCGAATTGCTGGAAAATCTTCTTCACCTTTTCTGATCTACTCCCTCTTGTCGCCATCCCCCTCCCCTTCTCCTATAGGGTTTGGGAATTGAAAATGCAAAGTGGTAGAGGTTGGAAATTTGGGAAATGAGGAAGCAAGAGGAGAAGGAAGAAAAAGATAAAAATGGCTACTTTTTCCTTATTTCATAAATCAGAAAAGTATGAATTGGGAGAGATGATAATAACTATCAATTCGGCTTAAATTTGGGGTTTGGGGGGATGTTTCTTTTGGTTACATCGGATCTGGAGAAAGTAAAGTGAAACGAAGACCGACACAGAGAACAGGAAAGAACGGGTGAGAGATTTCATTTTATTTTTCTGGTTCTGATGAAATTAAACCTGATAAGCTGTGGGTCTGGCTTATAGTCTGGATGTTTTTCTCATATATTAGCTTTTATATTTAATTTTTTCTCACGCATCTTTTAGACTATTTTTTTTATCTAATACCTTTTGTAGTAAGACGCATATTCTGCAGTGTGTTTTACGCTGATCTGACGTTACGGGGTAAGGTGTGCTCCTGAAACGCACCTTATGCTGACTGGAAATACACGTGTGTAAAGCTCGGCCCATGGGGCACGCCTTACGCACGTAGGACAATAGTGCGGGGTAGGAGTCGCGCCTTACCTTTAATTCAATTATATATAGTGCGGGACAGGGACCGTGCCTTAGCTTTAATTGATATAATTATATAAGACGCGGTGCAAGTATCGTGCCTTGTATAATTATAACAACTTTTATCATCTATAAATATCATTTTCCCCTGATAAACTCCTCACATCTCCCCTCCCAACTTATAAATTAATACAATAATTCTGTCAACGAGGCAATAATTCCAGCAATCTTCTCATATTTGATTCAGAAGTTCGTGCGATTTTTCGTTGTAAGGTAATTTTGTTATAATTTTTTTATTATACTTATTGTTTATTATGATTATTTGAAAAAATATTATACTAATTGTTTTCAATTAATTTTTGTGTTTGTAAAATTGAAAAGCGAGAGCATACGTCGAAATAGTTTTGCAGCGCAGGTAATAAAATAAAATAAAATTATTTAAATTATTTACATTTATGTGTAAAAATTGTATTGTGTTATATTTTCGTTCATATATTATTTATTTAATCAGATTTGTTTCAGTTGTTTTTTTTACAGATATAATATTGTCGCACTTTTAAACTCAAAGAATGACGCGACTTTCAGCTATTATTTATTATAATGGTGAAATTCGAGAAGTTGAAACTGGCGTTGTTTTCGTATCAAATGAACGTATTAAAGTATCATTCAAGAGAAACATAACTCTTGAGGAGCTGATAACGAAGATTTCGATGAAGGTTCATGTTGGAAGTAGTAGAATAATGTCGTCGTTGCAGTACAGATTTCAAACATCATTGTTGCCATTAATTTATACAGCGTTCGAACTTTCGAACAATGATGATGTTGAAGTGATGGTTGAATCTCAAAGTAATTATTTAGACGCCGATATTGAGATGTATACAAATTTTGTTCAAGTGCGTGCTGCTCGGGGTCAGTCATTAAGCTCCCACTATGGGCTATCTGAATAAGTTGACAGTCCGACGACAGTAATGTGTAATGATTTTAATGCCATAAAAGGGAGACATTCATCCGCAACTCCTTGCGATATGTACCGAGGTGGGTCAACGAACAATCCGTATGGTAACATCGCCTATAGTTCAAGGGGATGACATTCATCTGTAAATCCCTTTGACCTTAATATGGAGATGCCATCGATGCAACAATCTGTGCACTATCCATTCGACATGATGGCTTCAAGCTCTAGGGGGATGCATTCGACTTCGAGCTTTTTCGATCTCAATGTCGATATGTCTTCCAGTTTAAGGGGAATGTGTGCAAGTAGTAGGTTCTTCGACCTAAATGTGGAGAGCATAGAGGAACTATCATCTCCACAAGAAGAACCGTTTCGTGAGCCTGGTGCGGATGGTGCTAAGACTGGACTATTCATTCACCCAGAATCACCGCAATTCAACTCCGATTATGATGATGTAGATGAAGTTCCAGGAAATGTGGCACAAACTGACCCTCCTGCACACATGTATGAAGTTGATTATGGTGCAATGTACGAACCAGAATTTACGGATATGCCTCATCTCGGTGACTATGGATATTACTCATCAATAAATAATGGTGAGTTATCTTTAGGCATGGAGTTTTCAAGAAAAGAAGAAGCGATGATGGCTATAAAAAATTACAATATCCGTAATTCTGTTCAGTTCAGAGTCAACCGTTCCACGACCGAAAAATATGTATGCTACTATGTCCAACGTGAAAACGGATGCAATTGGATGGTTCGCGTATCGAAGAGGAAGAGGAAAAACAACATATGGGAACTAACAGTATATAACGGTCCTCACACATGTTGTGCTGGAGGGGTCAACCAAGATCATCCCAACTTGGACTTTGAAGTGATATGCCAAGCCATCATGCCCATGGTAAAAGCAAACTCTCATATAGTTATTGCAGTGTTGATTTCAGCTATACAATTGCAGTATGGGTACACTGTCTCCTATTAAAAAGCTTGGTTGGCAAAACAAAATGCCATTGTCAAACTTCATGGCGAATGAGATGCATCTTAAAACGAACTTCCAGGTTGGTTTAGGCTGGTGCGGACGTTGAATCCTGGGATAATTGTGGACTTCAAAACCTCGTATGCATACCATAATGATCGAGTTCTACGCGATCGATGCCAATTCTACCGGGTTTTTTGGACTTACCCACAGTGCGTTAATGCTGTCAAATACTGCAAGCCTGTGGTCCAGATCGACGGGACTTTCTTGTATGGAAAATACAAACAAGTTTTATTATTGGCAGTTGTCCAAGATGGCAATCGCAACATTCTTCCAGTTGCTTTTGCTCTTATCGAAGGAGAATTTACAGATTCTTGGGCTTTTTTCCTCCGAAACTTACGTGTACATGTTATCACGAGGGAAAAAAATATGTGTCATTTCAGATCGCGGAGCTGGGATCAAAGCAGCAATGGAGTCTTTGGGTCTAATGTGGTAACCACCCTTTGTCCAACATAGGTATTATCTCCGACACATTGTTGCGAACTACCATAGAAGGTACAAGAAGAATGATGAGCGTCAATTAATTGTGCGCATGAGTAAGTGAAACTGATGTAGTTTGTTTTCTTTCGATCATTTTAATTTTGCAAAGAAAGCAAGTTAGTAAGTTATACATTTTTTATCAGGTTACGAACTACTTCCTCGAAAGTTTGAATCAATGCTTCAAGATCTGCGGGTGAAGAACGAGGAATGATACGATTACATCAGCCTCATCGATGACGGGACTTTCTTGTATGGAAAATACAAACAAGTTTTATTATTGGCAGTTGTCCAAGATGGCAATCGCAACATTCTTCCAGTTGCTTTTGCTCTTATCGAAGGAGAATTTACAGATTCTTGGGCTTTTTTCCTCTGAAACTTACGTGCACATGTTATCACGAGGGAAAAAATATGTGTCATTTCAGATCGCGGAGCTGGGATCAAAGCAGCAATGGAGTCTTTGGGTCTAATGTGGCAACCACCCTTTGTCCAACATAGGTATTGTCTCCGACACATTGTTGCGAACTACCATGGAAGGTACAAGAAGAATGATGAGCGTCAATTAATTGTGCGCATGGGTAAGTGAAACTGATGTAGTTTGTTTTCTTTCGATCATTTTAATTTTGCAAAGAAAGCAAGTTAGTAAGTTATACATTTTTTATCAGGTTACGAACTACTTCCTCGAAAGTTTGAATCAATGCTTCAAGATCTGCGGGCGAAGAACGAGGAATGATACGATTACATCAGCCTCATCGATGACAGGACTTTCTTGTATGGAAAATACAAACAAGTTTTATTATTGGCAGTTGTCCAAGATGGCAATCGCAACATTCTTCCAGTTGCTTTTGCTCTTATCGAAGGAGAATTTACAGATTCTTGGGCTTTTTTCCTCCGAAACTTAAGTGCACATGTTATCACGAGGGAAAAAATATGTGTCATTTCAGATCGCGGAGCTGGGATCAAAGCAGCAATGGAGTCTTTGGGTCTAATGTGGCAACCACCCTTTGTCCAACATAGGTATTGTCTCCGACACATTGTTGCGAACTACCATGGAAGGTACAAGAAGAATGATGAGCGTCAATTAATTGTGCGCATGGGTAAGTGAAACGGATGTAGTTTGTTTTCTTTCGATTATTTTAATTTTGCAAAGAAAGCAAGTTAGTAAGTTATACATTTTTTATCAGGTTACGAACTACTTCCTCGAAAGTTTGAATTAATGCTTCAAGATCTACGGGCGAAGAACGAGGAATCATACGATTACATCAGCCTCATCGATAAAGAAATGTAGACGAACGCATATGATGGTGGATATCGATATAGACACATGATGACCAACTTGGCTGAGGCAATCAATTCAACCTTAAAGGGTGCACGTCACTTACCTGTAGCGGCTTTGGTAAAAACTATATATTTTCGTTTGGGGGCGCTTTTTGCGAAGCTCGAGGGACAAGCTCAAACCTGGATGTAAGGCGGTCATGTCTATCAACCTAGATTAGTTGCAGATCTACAGAAAAAAATGTTCCATCAAATGAAATGTCTGTATCTGACTTCTCTAGAAGGCATGAAATGTTTCGTGTCACAGAGTTGCCGCGACTTTTTCAAGGGATTGAAGCTGTGTCGTTAAGAGTAAATCTACAGGATAGAACGTGTGGCTGCAGGTTTTTTTCAAGCTCTTAAGTATCTATGCTCTCATGAGATAGCAGCTTGCTCGCATACGCGTCAAGACTAACTGTTTTATGGATCCCGTATACCTACTATCTAAAGTTTATAAGGTATACGAATTTGAGTCCCCCCTATAGGTAATGACAAAGACCCTTAAGAGGTTCAGGATTGGCTTCCGATTGTACCAAATCCGAGTTTATTGAGGGAGCGTGGTCTTCCAAAATCCAATCGAATTCATTGCGATATAGATATTCGAGAAAGATCTAGACAAGACAGAAGATGTGGGCATTGTAGAAACCCAAGACACACTAGAAAAACATGTCCACCTCTGTTGTCTTCAAGTAAAAATTGATGAGGACATGATGTAGTTGTTTATCAAATAATAATTATTGTACTTTAATTTGCATTTAATTAAAGTTAATGTCATTCGATAACCGCTGATGAACAGTAAAAAATGATACAAGAAAATGAGATTAAACGTTGGCGTTATATGTGATTATAATAAAAGATATAATAAGTGACAAACTGAAGAAATTTTGATAACACAATTATTAAATTTTATCAAACTAATAACAATTTGGTATTTGAACATAATTCTAAATACAACAAACTTACAAAAAGTATTAAATGGTAAATGATAACCAAATAACAATAACTGATTTTAAATGGTAATAAATAAAATTAACCAAAATACATTAACAAAACTGTATAACAAATTTAACAAAATTAATTAAAATAAATCCAACTACATTAACGAAAAAAGTAAGTATTAAATGATAAATAATTAAAAATTTACAATAAAAAAGTCCAATAAACAACTAAATACAAATATAATAAAAAAAACAAAATTTATCGATGTCTGCGACGCGAATGTGTTCCGCAAGACGGTGGTTGTCAGTCTCGAAGAGGATTTCTTCGTATCACTGGTTGTGACTCCTCGCTGTCATCATCGTCGTCGTCGTCGTCGTCGTCGTCCTAAGCAGCTACATTTTGTTGAGGAGGAGCTGATGACGATGAAGCACTTCCATAGAATAAAACCTGGAGGTGTATGACTGACTATCCCACCGGCCTGCGAAAACTGGGAAAACTCATAAAACCCCGACATCATCGAGTGTGAAAACTGTACAGGAAGTGTCTGAGCTACGACCATAGGTGATGAGGTTACACCTACCAAATATCTAGAATATGAACCCCAAGTAGAATATGTAAATATAGACTCATAATATCCTCGAGGAGGGGTCATATAACTCTGTGACGGTGGCGGCGGTAGGGTCATAAAACCAGGTGACGGTGGCGGTGGCAGTATCGAGTAAGGGAATAACGGTGGCGACATCATATATGGATTCGATATGTAAGTCGTTGTAGACGTTGGCTGCTGTGAAGGTCCTGCTGGTACAAATGAGGATGAACCGGAAGCACCTGCTCTCCGTCCACGAGTCGGGGGACGATGGTGTTGTGTCGGTGAACGTCTCTGTCGACGTCGCCAAAAGGTTCGCCCTCGTGCATCCTCGGGAAGCAGAAACAGTTTCCCGTTACTGTTGAACCAGTCATAATAACCGTCAGCAACCATCAAGAGGTCATAAAAAATGGGCTCTCTACGGGGAAAGCGCCAATGTCGATCCTCCCACAACACGACCCACTCATGATGCCTCACCAGCCAATTTGTATCTGTCTTGCCGCGTTGATCTGTGCTATGCAACTCATCCATATTGTGAGGTGCTTCTGGAATTGGTTGAAAATAACCAAATTGCCAGAGCACGCGATCAGTAGAGTGCCACTCGACGATCGCATAACAGATCAAAGGGATCATCGCCATCCAAACATCTGATGGGCCCCTCAACTCAGGTGTGATCACCATCCTCGCATCATCATTAGAATATGACACCCATTCAAACTAAAACAAATATATATAATTTTTATCAAAATAATAATCTAATTATATAACTATAATCTAAAATCGATTTTTAAACATTAAAATACATACATGTGTGCCAGCCTTCTGATCGATTAACACCCTATTTTTTTCTAAATCATCAGGTAGCTCCTGATGATTTTTCCTATCAGTAGACCACCTATTCAAGGAAAAAAATTTATTATACAATGTATAAAATGATTAATATACGAAACCAGTTTTATAATTACCTCAATAGTAGTGGAAATACGAATGGGTTCTTGACAACGGGATATAAAAAAGGCAATCAATACCATGCCCAAGACTGCAGCAGCAGGAGACATCCGCCGATAGCATTTTTTATGTAGTCAGTCGCTCGACACATCTCCCTATATAGGAAAGTCAAAACCGGCCAGATGAAAGTCGCCAAGATGTTGCAACCACATACAATGAACTTGGTTGCGTGATTTGTCTGACATCAACAACCCTTCTCTCAACTGCAGTATGCATGCCTGTGCATACATTTTAACTTCATCATCAGAGGCGTCTGCGCTCAACTCCCGAAAATTAACTTATAACCAATTTAACGGTATCCGACCACCGTTAAAATTTTCCGGGACACGTCCTAGACTAACCCGACACAAAGTAGTCCAAGAACCGGAAGATATCCCTGATATCACACCTCCATCCACCGGAAGCCCCAGGTGCATAAAAACATCCTCAAGTGTAATCATGCACTCTCCGCATAGAATATGGAATGTGTGGGTCTCCGGTCTTCACCGCCTAAGGTAGCAATAAGGTCTGGTTCTATCTTACAGTGACCCTCATATCTATCTATGTGATCGAATTCAGCCTCTACTAAATACAGCATGACTCAGCCAGGTATCACTAACTTAAGGTTCCTAATGAAAGGATCTAATATACGGTATCTCTCCTAAAATATAAATAATTATAAAAATTAATTTTTAAACTAATAATCATGCATTAAATAAATAAATTATTACTAATAATTTAAATTAAATTAAACGTTAAAATGTTACCGTATATATGATTTCCATCCAAGCGAAGCAGACCGTCTTCCATTTTATATCTGCAAAAAAAATTAATTAAATATAATATTAAATAATTTAAATACTTAAATAAATTAAATATTAAATAAAATAAAATATACCTTAAACAAATAATATAAAAGTATTTGAGAGAGGTTGAGAGAATTTGAGAAAAGTTGAGAGGATTTGGTATGATGAAAGTAATTGAGGATGTGGTATTTATAGAGAGGGATGAGAGTGTGAACGGTCGGGACAGGTACGTAATTAAACCTAAGGCGCGTTGCAGGGGGCGCGCCTTTCTGATGCGTGTCAGATTTGTAGGTAAGACGCGGCCCCTGCACCACGCTTTACACACGTGTATCCCAGTTAGCATAAGGCGCGTTTCAGGGGGCGCGCCTTACCCCATGTGACGCCAGATCAACGTAAAGCGCGCTGCAGGGGCGCGCTGCAGGGGCGCGCCTTACTGCAAATGGTGTTAGATCAGAAAAAATAGTCTGAAGGGTGCCTGACAGAAAAAATTAAATGAAAAATGTAATATATCGAGAAAACGTCCATAGTCTACTACACACACTCTCTCTCCAAGATATCTATTCTATAATTATGGAGTATTAAAACCTACTCCTAAATTCTTAAAAAATATTATCTAAAACATTTTTTTTCAATTCTTTGATGTATGAATTTTAGTACATTGTTATCACGGTTCAAATGGTGAACAAGAAAATTAAAGAGTTTATTTTAAATATATTTGGTGTTTTTTTTCCCAAATAAAAATCTATTTTTTTTACTTTTAAATTGATATTTGAATTAATTACATCCTTTCAAATTTATATTAAAAAAATTTTAAATTCATTTCATGTATTATTTTTATTAAAAGAATTAAATTTTGATGGCGTGACAACAAATGATATAATCACATCTCAACAATAATATTATTATACGTATTTTTTTAAAATTAGATTTATAAAAGTTTATTGAAAAATTCAAAACATTGAATGAAATTAAAATTCGAGTACTAACTTGAGAAAAAAATGCTTATCCGTGTATCAATTTGGGAGAAAAAAAATACTTAGGTACCAACTTAAAAAAATGTTTAACTCGAGTATTAAATATATGTTTAAGCCCCGACATAACTAAGAAATGTAATGTAATAAATAAATCGATGAAAAGGAATTTAATAAAATTCTAATGGTCAAGTAAAGTTAAAAGACCATAGTCATTTATGCCTAACAACTAAGAAAAGAATTCTATACCGTTTCAGTTTTCACACCAAATCATTACTCTCACCTTCAATGTAAAATGAACGCATATGGAAAGGGTGGCGGTAAATTAAGGATAAAGAAACAAAAAATAGTAAGTCCACAATGGGCATACAGATTTTAGTTCGTTGGTGGCGGTTATGTTTGAAACGCGGGTACAATTCCAACAGAAACTGTATGAATTCATTTCACATTTTGCTTTCTAATGTCTTTTACTTCTTCCTCCTCTTCTTCTATCTTTCTCTTCCCAAAACTCAGAGTGGAGTCTGAGAGACGGAGGCGGAGAATAAAAAGAAATCGGTTTTCAGTTACAGTTGCATTTGTTTTCGTTTTCCCCGATTCACCGAATTTGACGCATCTTCTCTAGCTGTTTTCCGGACATTTTCGAAATGCTTTATTGGTCCCCGTTTAACAACAAGGGGAAAACCTTCCAAGTTTGCTTAGATTGAAGCCCCAAGGTTAGACGATTGCCTGGTTCCGACAATAGAGAGGCCTTTACCTTGAAATAAAAAAAGGTAAAAATTGTGAAGAGAGACAGAGAGGAAAACAAAAAGTATAAATGACAATGAGCCAAGAGTTGGCAATTTCATGAACAAGGAGAAATTTTTTGTTTCGATCAGATTAAGACCATTGAATGATAAATCAAGGAATCGTATATGTGATTGGGAATGCACTAACAATGACACCATTGCTTTCAAGCATAATTTGCCCGAACGCGCCATGTTCCCTGCCGCCTACACATACGGCAAGCATTTCCATAATCATTTGCCTGTATTTTTCATTTCCCATCGAGAATCCAGAACGTCTTCTAACCATTGTGTTTCCATTTTTTGTTTGTCAATTTTGTCGAAAAAAGACAGTATTCGACAGCGACTGCGATACAGCTCTAGTGTACGAGGAAGGAGTCAAACATATTTCCTTGTCCATTCTATGTATAACTATATAATCGGGTGAAAATGTTTCTACTCGTGTTTTTCTTTTCCCTTCTCTTCAGCGAGCATATTTGCATACGGGCAAACAAGCAGTGGAAAAACATATACAATGAGGGGTATCACCAAATATGCAGTATCGGATATATATGACTACATCGAGAATGTAACGATAGACTGCGTATTACTTCTTCTCATATATATTATATTTGGAATCTATCTACCCATAAATAGATGACATCTTGTTTTGATCAATATGTTAGAATGAAGAAAGCGAATTTTTGGTGAAATTTTGTGCCATGGAAATATACAATGAAGCCGTGAGAGATCTCCTTAGCCCTGATAGTTACTCACTAAGAGTTCTAGATGATCCAGAGGTAACTATTTCTCTTTTCTTTATTTATGCTTTCTGGTCATCATTTTGCATGTACGATATTGTTTTCACACGACAGAGGGGAACGGTTGTGGAGAAACTTACTGAGGTGACTCTAAGAAACAAGGAACATCTTCACGAGCTCCTTTCAATATGTGAAGGTGAAATATTTCTCAAACGCTCATGGACTTGCATTGTTTCTTCTTCTTCTTTTCACTAGATGACATTATATATGTTTGGTATGGATTTGCAGCTCAAAGGCAAATAGGAGAGACATCTTTGAATGAAACCAGCTCGAGATCATATCAGATTTTGCGGCTGGTAGGCATGGTTACTCGAGTAACTTTTCTTTATCGGAGTTTGACCTAGTTTTTTTCTATGTTCAATGATGCAATCTTGCAGACAATTGAAAGCTGTGCTCGTGAATATGCTGGAGCTGGAAATTCAAGCATCCTTGAATCTTCCGTGGTATGATACTATTAACTTACCGAAAGGTAATGCATTTATATTACATGGGAATATTGAATTCATGGAGATCATTATTCTAGACTGAATTATTTAGTAACGAAAACCTTAACCGGGAAAATTGACTAGTTAGTCTTGTACATAATTTTATTGATCTAGTAGGAAGTGAGCGAGCTTCTCAGACCTTAACTGCTGGTGCAAGATTGAAAGAAGGTGTCACAGTTGGAGAAGGTAGGCGAGAGGGAGAAGACAAAGGGCGAGAGAAGAGTATCGAAGAAGAATTGGGGGAAATGAAGAAACAAGGGTTAGGGATTGAGATTGAATGGGGAAGCAATTACCTGAAAGAGGAGCACGTGAGGCGCACGAGGATTATTAAATCACCAAACCGGTTGATCTAGCAGATTCAGATGCTGGGTCCAAGAGATCCAAGTGATACACGGGTGGCCCAGTAAAGCCCAAGTCCTGTGGAGATAACAGAATTGGTTAGCAAGGACAGGCCAGCTGGCATAACAGATTCTCTATTTGATTGTATGTAAATAAACAGCAATGTAATGGAAAAAGGGGTTATGAAATGAATGATGAACTTTCATTTTCTCTAAATTCTCTCTTCTTCTATCCTCTCTATTCTCGTAATCTTCTCTATTTCTCTTCAATCCATAACAAATTGGTATCGAGAGCCTGAATTTTCCTGGCCATTGAAGTTGTAATGCCAAAGAAAAACCAGACAATGACTGAATCATCATATTTTGCAGCACTACAGAAACAATTGGAGGAATTGACTACTTTGGTTAAGCAGTCTCAAAATGAAACTAAGATTCCTAAGTGGTGGGAAAATCAAGAGGAGCATATCACTGCCTTGGAGTCTATAATGGCTACAAATCAAGGATACGTGGAAGAGCTTTTGAGGATTTTGACTGGTCGAAAAGGAGATCAAAATCAGCCTGAGGAGGAACATGTACAGACCCCTAATTCATATAATATGAGTGGGAAGCAAGTTGTACAGGTTACAGTGATTAATGATAAAAATAGGTTTACTTATAAACCTGATGAGCCTGGAATTTTAAAATCTAAGCCAATGGAGTTGCCTGCTCATATAACTAGTTTTAAAAATGATAATCAAGTGGGGGAGAACAGTGCTATTAAGAATAATACAATGGGCTTAGATGTGGATGGAAGAGGCACAGGGGGGTCTTTTAATACTTCAGGGAGTATGTTGCACAGACTTAAAATCGAGCTACCTTTTTTTGATGGTAGTAATCTAAGAGGTTGGATACATAAATGTCTTAAGTACTTTTCGCTATGTAATATTGCTGAGGAACAAAGAGTACAAGTAGCTACAATGTACTTAACAGGAAAAGCATAAATTTGGTTTGATGGCTATATTATGCAAAAACACCATGTTACATGGCATGAGTTTGAAGCAGACCTATGTCATAGGTTCTGTGATAAGGCCTTTGCTAATATAGTGGAAGAGTTTACTAAATTAGTTCAGAAAGGGTCTGTGGAAGAGTATCAAGACAGATTTGAAGAATTACAGCCTCACATGCTTTTGCAGAACCTTACTCTAGGTGAGGAATTCTTTGTCTCTTTGTTTATCAGTGGATTAAGGGATGACATTAAACATAGGGTCAAAGCCCTAGATCCTAAGAAACTGTCTGAAGCATATAGGCAAGCTAAATTGTATGAATTGTCTGCTGAATTTGAAAGTAAAAGATTGAGGCCAGTCTTTAGAAACCCATCCTACACAAATTCCCTACCTAATTCTAAGCCAAATCAGTTACAAATTCCACAAAAGAGTTCAACCACTTTGCAACCAAAATAGAATTTACTGGAGTATATAAGGCAAAATAATTTGTGCTTTAAGTGTGGTGAGAAATTTGTCCCAGGCCACCAGTGTAAAATTAAACAATTAAACATGATGATTGAAGATGAGATTGTTCTTCCTTCAGATACTGTACCTACTGATTCAGAACAGTCAGTCCTACAGGAAGAAGAGAGCCTAGAAATATCTATGAATGCTATCACTGGGTGTATTGGACATAATACACTAAGAATTCAGGGCAGTATCCAAGGCAAACCATTGAACATTCTAATTGACAGTGGCAGTACTCACAGTTTTCTAACACCACAGTGGGCTGAAGCTGGTATATAGGTGAATACACCTTACCCTTTAGCTATTACAATGGCTAATGGACAATAACTTTATAGTTCAACAATGTGCAATAAGGTTGAATGGCAAATGCAAGGGCACTCTTTTGTTCATGATTTCAGACTTTTACAATTGGGAGGAAGTGATATGGTATTGGGAGTAGATTGGATGAAACTATTTAGTCCAATCTTGATGGACTTCAATAAAATGACTCTTAGTTTTGTTCATCAGGATGAACAAATTGTTATACATGGTCAGCAACCATCTCAATTTTTGCAGCAAATTTCAGGGGCTTCTTTATTGAAAATGATAGCTTCAGACTCTGTTATTTTGGGACATGTGGTGTTATTATCTATGACAGAAGGTTCTAACCCTATTCCTGCAGCTATTCGACCTCTCTTAGAAAAATACAAGACTATTTTTGAGGAACCAAAAGGCCTTCCACCAAAAAGAAATCATGACCATGATATTCCTCTTAAGCCAGATTCAATTCCTGTTAATCTCAGGCCCTACAGATTTCCACATAATCAGAAGGCAGAGGTTGAAAGGCAAATTACTACTATGTTGTCTTCCTCTATTATTCAGCCTAGTAGGAGTCTATTTGCATCTCCCTGCCTATTAATTAAGAAGAAATATGGATCTTGGAGGTTCTGTGTGGATTATAGACAACTCAACAGCATGACTATTAAGGATAAATTTCCTATTCCTGTAGTGGAGGATTTATTAGATGAGTTACATGGTGTTGTTTATTTTACAAAGATTGACCTCAGATCAGGGTATTGGCAAATCAGAATTAAAAAGGCAGACATACACAAAACTGCATTCAGAACTCATCAAGGCCACTATGAATTTAAGGTAATGCCTTTTGGCCTTACTAATGCCCCTGCTACTTTTCAGGCATTAATGAATGAATTATTTAGTTCATTCCTTAGAAAATTTGTGTTGGTGTTTTTTGATGACATTTTAGTCTACAGTAGTTCTATGGCAGCTCATATTGCTCATTTACAGAAAGTTTTAGAGGTGTTCCAGGCTAATCAATTATTTGCAAAGTTCTCCAAATGTTTTTTTGGACAAAACCAAGTGGAATACTTGGGACATATTATTTCAGCTGCAGGAGTTGCTACTGCTCCTAGTAAAGTGGAAGCAATGAAGAATTGTCCTCTTCCTAAATCCTTAAAATCTTTGAGGGGATTTTTAGGATTAACAGGCTATTACAGGAGATTTATTAAAGACTATGGTGCTATCAGCAAGCCACTGACACAGATGCTTAAAACAGACAACTTTCAGTGGACTAGTGCAGCTGTAACTGCCTTTGAAGAACTTAAAAGAGCTATGAGTAGTGTTCCAGTTTTAGCTCTCCCAGATTTTTCCAAGAATTTTTGCTTGGAAACAGATGCAAGCTCAGGTGGTATAGGTGTTGTCTTATCTCAAAATGACAGACCTATTGCTTATTTAAGCAAGGCTCTTAGTCCTAGAAATTCTAGCATTTCTATTTATGAAAGAGAGTATCTAGCTATCATACTGGCAGTTTCTAAATGGAGACATTACTTAGAGGGAAATCCTTTTGTCATTAAAACTGACCATGAACCTCTAAAGTATCTCTTGGAACAGAAGTTGACTACTACAATTCAAAAGAAAGGCCTGACTAAGCTTTTGGGTTTGGATTATACTATTCAGTATAGAAAGGGAAAATCCAATGTTGTGGCAGATGCCTTATCTAGGCAATGGGAGGATCAGGGTCAGTGTTTTGCTATGGGTACAACTGTAATTATTCCTAACTGGGTTCAAGATGTGGAGGCTAGTTATAAAGAAGATCTATTGGCTGCTGATTGGATTTCTAAATTAACTGTGAATCCTACTGTTGATATTAATTGGAGATTTTCAAAGGGCATCCTTAGATTTAAGGATAGAGTTTATATTGGAACTGCTGGAACCTTAAGACTACAAATTCTTCAGACATTACATGATTCACCTTATGGAGTTCATTCTGGAAGTCAAGACACTTATCAAAGAATTAGATCATATTTTTATTGGCCTAAACTTAAGGCTATGGTGGCAACCTATGTCACAGCTTGTGCAGTTTGTCAACAAACTAAGGTGGAGCATGTTGATAAACCATGACTGCTACAACCACTACCTATTCCTCAACAGGCTTGGGAGGTCATCACTATGGATTTTATAGAAGGGCTGCCTACATCATTGAAGAAAAATTGTATTTTAGTAGTGGTTGATAAGTTTACTACGTATAGTCATTTTTTGGCTTTGTCACTTCCTTACTCAGCAGCTGAGGTGGCTAGATTATATTTGGATCATATTTATAAGCTTCATGGATAGCCTAAATTGGCCATTTTAGACAGAGATAAGACTTTCACTAGTCTCTTTTGGAGAGAACTGATGAAACTCTTAGGAACTAAGACCCTATTTAGCACTGCCTACCATCCTAAAACTGATGGACAGACAAAGAGGGTGAATCAATGCTTAGAACAGTACCTAAGGGGTCTTTGTTTTTATCAACCCAAACAATGGGCTAAATGGTTGCCACATGTTGAGTGGTGGTACAATACCACCTACCACACTGCCTTAAAGTTAACACCTTTTCAGGCTCTCTATGGCTACAAGGCTCCTACAATGGTTTGGCATACAGAGACTAATGTACATGCAGTAGCGGAATTAATGCGTAGCAGAGAAGAAATCAAACAATTGGTCAAAGTCCAGTTAGAGCAAGCCAGTAATAGAATGAAACAGAAAGCAGACAAAAACAGGTCAGAACGAGTTTTTCAAGTTGGAGATTTAGTTTACTTGAAGTTGCAACCGTATCGACAATCTTCTCTTGCCCTGAGAAAACATTTAAAATTGGCAGCAAGGTTTTATGGTCCTTATAAAATTATTAAAAAATTTGGAGAAGTAGCCTATAAATTGGACTTACCAGATACCTCGCGTTTGCACCCAGTCTTTCATGTTAGCTTATTGAAGAAGCATGTTGGAGACACATCAACAACTTCATCTGATCCTCCTGATATTGATGCTGAAGGTCAGTTCAAAATCGAACCCAGTAGAATATTGGGCAGAAGGATTATTAATAGACAGAATAAACCAGTTACACAGTTATTGGTTCGTTGGACTAACCTGGACGAGACGCACGACACCTGGGAAGATTATTCAGTGCTTCGTGGACAGTTTCCGTTGTTTGATCCTTGGGGACAAGGATCGACTCATGGGGCGGATATTGTCACAGTTGGAGAAGGTAGGCGAGAGGGAGAAGACGAAGGGCGAGAGAAGATTATCGAAGAAGAATTGGGAGAATTGGGGGAAATGAAGAAACAAGGGTTAGGGATTGAGATTGAATGGGGAAGCAATTACCTGAAAGAGGAGCACGTGAGGTGCACGGGGATTATTAAATCACCAAACCGGTTGATCCAGCAGATTCAGATGCTGGGTCCAGGAGATCCAAGTGATACACGGGTGGCCCAGTAAAGCCCAAGTCCTGTGGAGATAACAGAATTGGTTAGCAAGGATAGGCCAATTGGCATAACAGATTCTCTATTTGCTTGTATGTAAATAAAACAACAATGTAATGGAAAAAGGGGTTATGAAATGAATGATGAACTTTCCTTTTCTCTAAATTCTCTCTTCTTCTATCCTCTCTATTCTCGTAATCTTCTCTATTTCTCTTCAATCCATAACAGAAGGCTGCCATATAAACCGGAGTTTACTAACTCTTGGGATCGTGATTCGCAAATTAAGGTTGGACTATTCTCTTCATTTTTCAAGAGAACAAATACTGTTGGACGTATGTGGGTCTTTAATTCGTTTATGAGAATGAAATATTCAGACCAATTAACTGATATGACACTTCGCAGCAAGGGAAGAACCGGTCACATACCTTATAGAGACTCTAAGTTGACACACATACTCCAGAATGCTTTAGGAGGAAATGCCAGAACAGCCATCATTTGTACTATGAGTCCTGAACGTGTTCATGTTGAGCAATCAAGAAACACACTCTTGTTTGCGAACTGTGCCAAGCAGGTAAGAACTAGTGCGCAGGTGAATTTAGTCATGTCAGATAAGGCATTGGTAAAACAACTGAAAAGAGAATTGGCTAGACTGGAGAAAGAAATGAAGAACTTGGGATCATCTTCGGTTAAAGGTGATACTGCTGATGTGCTGAGAGAGAAAGAGCAACTTATTGGACAGGTGATTAGATGAACTTCAGAAAGTTGTTTCACACTAGCCTTTGCTTAAATGGCTTACTCTTGTTAACCTGGACTTTTTTTATTCTTTCTAATTTGAGTATCTACAGATGGCCAAAGAGATAGAAGTATTGACTTGGCAACATGATCTGGCTCAGTCGCGAGTTGAGAATTTGATACTGTCAGTTAAAGAAGTTCAAATGTTAAAGCAATCATCAAATTCATCAGAAGGGCCCAAGGTTCCCTATATGGTTGATTCCAACAAACATAAGGATACAGTTGCATCTAGTGTGCCTAGCAACAACAACGGATATCCTGCGCTTGCAGAGGATCCTGAAGAGGATTTTCTACTCAATGGCATGAACCCGAAGTTTATTGGACCTGATCCGAGCAAAGGATATCCTGGGCTTGCAGAGGATCCTGAAGAGGATTTTCTACTCGATGGCTTGACCCCGAAGTTTATTGGACCTGATCCAAGCAACGGTTGGGAGTTTTCTGAACAAATGGGTCAAGAATTTAAAGATAGCAGCAAGGAAGTTCAATGCGTTGAAATTGAAGACTCAAATAACACAATAAATGAACAGGAAGAGAAACTATCATGACAGAGATTCTTCCCAAGGAAACAGGAGCTGGCGAAGGTGATGTCTTCGAGAAAAAACAAGGAAAATTAGACATGATTACTACCACGAATGATAGTGCCGTATCATCACAAGAAAAGGAAGATTTGCAGCCAAGTCCTGTTTATAGTGATCAAACTTACAAGGATTTGAAACAAAAAATTCAGGAACTGCAAAGGACAGTCAAGTTTCTTGTCAATACACAACATCTAGATCAGTCACCTAGCTTCTCAGATACAAGTAGCTCTATTAGGAGCTTGAGCAGAAGTAAAAGCTGCAGGGCGGTTATCAGAACAGCGCCATCTTCACCTTCCTTTGAGAAGGCAGCACATAAAAAAAGCATACCCCCTTCCAGTGGGGTTGAAAATGACTTTTTCCAAATGCTTTCGGAAGTTAAATATGACAACAGAATCGAAAATATATCCAGAAGACATTCTCGAGCTTCTTCTGTTAGTAGCAGCTCCGTGGATACATTAAGTCTTAAAGATCTAGATGTGGAAGACACTTTGAGTGCAACTAATGGAAGTCAATTAGCGAGGATCCATTGGGAAGAATTTCCAACTCTACTGATTTAGCGGCCTGCGGCAGTGAAATGACACAGCAGTCAGAAAAGCAAATTGATAACAAGATGGTAAGAAACTGAACCAACCTCCTTCCTCTTTTGAGTTTTATTGTTTCTCAAATGAAATCAACCATTCATATTAGCTTTTATAGTTTCATATTCTGTCCGAATGAGTGCACAACCTTGTAATAATTTTTTTTATAACTATCTATCTTACTGCTTGGTACATAAGGTTGTTCCTAAGATTGCTATCCTCTTCACCGTGGTCAGAATGAGCTTTCACGCTAATAATAATTGGCAACTAACATACTTCCTTTTCCATGGATGGTTTATCGATGAGATAATAAAGACCGACTCAGAGTTTGAGGAGAAGCAGAGAAAGATAGTTGAACTTTGGGATGCATGCCGTGTATCATTAATCCATAGAAGCTATTTCATCCAGCTTTTCAAAGGCGATCCTTCCGATTGTTTGTATTTGGAGATAGAGCTCAGACGATTGACGCTTCTAAAGAACACGTTGTCAGATATAGCTTCCAGGTAAATTTAAGATTTCCATAATTGAACATAAATTAACTACTTTTATTCGATTCATCTTCAACGCAATGCAAACCACGGCTAGATATATTGTCTTCTCTCTTTCTGGTGACAGTGAGAAGGAACTGACTCGAGAGAGGTTGACGTTGAGCAAGCAAATACGGTATAAATGGTTAAGAAAGCAGAGAGAGGAAGTCTATAAGAAGTGGGGAATTGATTTGAACACAAAGCAGAGGAGCGTGCAGTTGACACACCTTGTCTGGAAGGACCCCAAGGACATTGTCCATGTGAAGAAGAGTGCTGCTCTTGTTGCGGAGGTGCTAGGATTTGTGGAACCAAGTCGAGCCCCCAATGAGGGGGTTGCATTCTGCATGTTGCCCCGATTTTTATCCCGAAGTTCTCACAGCTGGAGAGACAGCCTTCCTTCCCTCTTTTAGAAGTTGTTGAAGATAGAGTGAATTAATCTAGACTGAAATATTTTCATTTCCAACTCCCCCGTCCTGATTGTAAATTCACAATGTGTATAAAGTTTAATCAGACTTTAGTCGCAGATTCATTTTGATTCTTTCTTTGCTCATCGAAATTTGTGTAACAAGCACATAATAATGGAATGAAGGAATATCTTTCCAGATAGAATGGTTTTCATTTCCCAACCTACACCATCTTTATGTCCAACCAGAGACTTAGATATGGCTCACCGAACCTGAATAATTAAACAAAAAACCGTCAAGAGGTTGACTCAACTCTTTTAAGTTGGATTTCTTCAACGACTGGAAAATGCAATGCTCTGTTTTTTTCTCATACTATATAATAACAATAGCTGCGGAGAAAAGAAAAAGTGATGCTGGTACCCACATTGGAACCCTCAGGTCTACATGCTTTACATTATTAGCTAAGATTTGTAGACAGACCCTTCAGTGATTTTCCAGCCTGACTTGGAGCAAGACATCTCATATCTCGTGGTGTAGGATTGTAGGTTAGAGGCATTGTTTTCCGGATGATGAACATCAGTCAAGAAGGTGGATTCTTCCAGAGTTGCTTCAACCACGGCTCGCTGCCCATCCAGTGAAAGAGTGACACTGTCGATGGACATGTTCATTAGACTACATTCATATATCCAACAAAGTTGAGCAATTTCAGCTGCACAATCTGTCCATGTCTTCAACATTTGACCATCCAGAACCTGGCAGTTTTCTCAGTGTTAGGAAAAACTTGAAGGCACGCAGTCCTAATGAAGCCTTGAAAAGTCCTTCAAAGTTATCGACTATGTTTGGCTGAATCACGCAAATTAACACTCATAAAACTCTACATAACAAGCTATCCCAAAATGAAGAAAGTCCTACTTGTAGGGCAGTTTTCAAGATTTATGCTTGCGGAACTACCATAAAATAAAATGAGAACAACATCATATTACCTCTGGCAATTTATCAAGACGGTGATCAGGTCCAAACGCCTCAGATTTAATGGAAAACAATGCCTTCTGCAATTCTTGCATCCATTCTAGGTAATTCTTGCAAAGAATTTTCATCTATTACCCCTGTAAAGTTGAAATCAGTTTTGAGCACCAATAAAAATGGAAAACAGGACAACCTTGGAGGATTTCACAAACTCTGCCATGACTTGTTTAGTGGGGAAAACAATCCTCTGTAACCTACCAACTTTTAACAGTAAAATAGAAAACAGGTGCAGTAGTAGCCATACAGACAACATGGTTAAAACTAAAGGATCCATAATTAACAACAACGAAGTCCTAAGCTACTCTAGAAAAAACGTCCAGCATTGGAAATAATGCTACATTAAGTTGACTATTTACCGTATGTACTATCAAGTCATACCTGCATTAATGACGTTAGTTGCCGCTGGACTAATTTCTTTACCATTCACCGATGAACTAGATCTGCCAGGTAAAAACTTTAAACCAAGCTGGACTAATTTCTTTACCATTCACCGATGAACTAGATCTGCCAGGTAAAAACTTTAAACCAACCAACGTCATAACTCCAATTACCACACCAGCAGACATGATCTTGATACTAGCCTTTTTAATTTTGTCAGTTATTGTTTCTTCGTCATATATTTCTTCCAAACTACTTATCCCAGGAACCTCAGCTAGCATGGCCGAATCCTTTTGATCGGGTTTTCCAGAATCTCATCATTTTCAATGGGAAAAAATTTCATCTCACCATCTAATTGATGTCTTACACTCTCTTCTGAGTGATGAAGAGGAAACACCTTCTGCAATGCCTGAATTGCACTAGTCTTTACATGATCAAGAACTGCAGTAGCCTCAGCGCCTATCCTAACAATAGCTGCAGCTGCAGCTAAGGGTGAACCACCAGCTCCCTCAATCCTTTCTAAATATCTCAGGACAGTAGGATCATCATAATAATCTCCAAGCTTGAATTGTACGTCTCTGGTGTCTCTAAATCTGGGAAAAACCACCTCCATTAACCATGCCTCCAAAAGTTTGCAAAGCCCAGGAAGATCTGTCATCATCATCCTTTGAATTTTCCAAGACAAAATCTACAATAGATGGATTTCTATAACGGGAGCTATCGTTGTCTAAGCCCAACCACATGCGGCACTCATCAAGCTCCCCCACAAGTAATGAACGGAGACCCCTCTCCAAAGCAAAGTCTATCTCATGGTTTCCAATGGGAGTATAGGGAGAGACACTGTTATCTAGAGTTGTTATCTTAGTCTGCTGGAGCTGCTGGAAGAGGTTATCAGCATCTCTAATGAGATGAGGTTTCTTGTTTAGAAATGCTTGAGCAACAAGTGCAAGTGCTACTCCGTAAACTTCAAAACTTTCTGCAGAAATATTTCTTGGAGTGGCTGCAAACAGATCAACCTGTTGATATAAAAGGACTCAAACTAAAGAGAAACTAAGAAACCATTCAGAAAGCCTATAAGGCAAAATGAATGATAGAAAATGTACAAATACCCGTTCAGCTGCTGTCATGCACAAGAAGGCCTCATTCATAAAATTTTCACGGGTAAAACCTCCTGCAATTGCAGCAACTCCTCCTCCACCAACAGCCCATAATATGTTGCGTACACCATGAAGACCCTCCTCTCTCTTTGTCTGATGCTCATCATCAAGGGGTAAGGCTAGAAGTTCTAGAACACAAAGTGGGGCAATTTCCTCTAACGTCTCATCAATTTGCGACTGCAAATCTGGAGCAAGACTGCTGGCCCCTTCCTCCTATATTATCATTACAAAGGATTTATAGAGTATCATCCAAGTGTAAGAAAAGAACTGGTTGATCAATGCATAACCATTCCATTTCATTAACCTCTGTCTGTATGTGGAACCATTACAGTCTTATTTCAATAAGCATGAGTTATCTCATTAAAATATTAGTACTAGAAAAAAATCTATATATTTCTATCTTTTACTCATTTTTCGGCAGTAGGCAGACTTTTGACTTACTTTAGAAATAGTAAATCCACAGATTGACAATTAATTCAGACAACTAAACAATCAAACAATATTTTATCAACAGTGGAACATAATTTACAAATGGAAGTAGAGAGGTGTGCACAAGCACCTGCAACAGCTTCAAAGCCCTCTCAAGCACCTCACAACCACCAATAAAATGGGGAGGATTCAGAGCCATAGCATCCCTTGACAAGTCCACAAAAGCAAGGGCCATTGCCAAAACGACATCCTGTTTAAACGCCTTGGGCATCCTCTCTCTCAGCAAAGTCTCCCTAATTTGAAGCACCGCTTCAGTCTCCCCTGCCTCTTGCAACATGCACAAAGCTCCAGGAACCTATATTCCCCACATTTTCTCAATAACCAAACATTAATTGTTAAATAAAGAAAATGACAAAATGCAATTACCTTTTCCCAGGGAACTTGAGTGATGATAGTGTCGCGCTCATCATCGACAAGACCTTGGTTGTAATTTCGTCTAGAACCTGGATTAGATAGGGTTTCACAGGCGGCATGAAGAATCTGTCTTCGGCTAATTAAGGGGTCTTGACTGAAACCATATTGAGGCGGTTTGGAAACCCTTGCTTCATAGGCTCTTTTAATTCCATCTCCTAGAAAATGAGTCTCGGCTCCTAAAACCTACATAAGAAAATTATAGTTTTTAGATAACCGTAATTCCCAAAATCAACAAAATTTAAAGCGAACTGCGAGTTAGTGTCTAACCGACCTTGTAGAAATCGAGGGGAATGGAAACGTGGCGTTCGGGAGGGGAGGGAAAGGGGGAGAAACAGTGGCTGTTGAGGAGGAAGAAGATGAATAATTGTCGGTGGCAGGGAGAAATTGGAAGTCGGCAAGGAGGCGCTCGGCCCATTTACTGGCGGAGCAGAAGACGGAGGTTGAAGGGTGGTGGAGTTTGGAGGGTTTTCGAGGGTGGAGCAATGTAGTTGAAGTAGGAGTGCACAGCCCGATGCTAATGTGCCTCAAATATTCCATCTTTGAGAACCTGTGAGATGAAAATTACAAAAATAGGTTAACAGAATTCCTTTTGAGAGACTGATAGAATCGCCATATAGTGTAAAAAAGATCACTGAAGCGGTATTCTCTCCAAATATTTAATCTTTTTTAATAAAAATTACGTGCGTTAGTCTCGTTTGTTTTTTGTCATACCGATTTTGATTATCGATTTAAAAGTTAGTTTCTCCATTCCCTACTCTCCGACACCGCCACCACTCTTCATTTAACAAAATCAACTCATTGTTTTGGAAGATTTTTTCTTCTGAAAAACGTTTAACGTCAACTCATATCTTCTTCAGTCCCCACTGTCCATTTTCATCAACACTAAAAAGAGACTGTTGCTAGGATGGCTTGTTTTGTACTAACATGACCACGACACTGAGTTTTTTCCCTTTGTTGCAATTATTAGTGTTGTCGATCATGAAAAAGAAAAGACATGATTGATCAAACGTGAAGATCAAATTTTCTTTTGTTAAGGATTGAATCGGGTTCTTGGTGTTGTAGGAGAAGCAACCTTCTTTTGTTACCAACAGCATCGAGTTGACCCTTTCTTGTACTTAAAGACTACAAATAATCAATTTTAAGCAGATTCACGTGGAAAAATGAGAGATAAATGGATATATGTTTAGATAGAGTGTCATTGACTTGAAATTTCATCCTCTCAAACCAATGATTGTAATTCTCGGAAGGACTGACAATCCGACCATCTTTACCACCAACATAGAACTTGTAATCCTGAGTTGAAGTGAGAAAATCGTTATTTCTTGGCCATTTGAGCTCTTAGACGTTGTGTAGACACCCGTTTTTGTTCGGGTCTACAAAAATATTTTATTATATTATATTTATTTATTTATTATTATTATTAATATTTTTTTATTTTTTTATTTTTACAGGTCCCACACTCAACAACCATGATTTAGTAAGATTCAGAAAATAAATCGACGTATTTGAGTCCTATTGAAACACTAAAATCAACTTATTTGA